AGAGGTACTGCTTGTGTGTGGACTTGAATCATAGGAGAGCAGACATTGGGCCTGTCTTGCTCTGCAGGGAACCCTGGTGCCCAGAAAACTCAGTAAATCCTAGTTAAATGAAGCAGGGGTGGGCAGAACATGGCCCCACCTCACATGTATGAAATAAGTGTTCAGAGGGTATTCTTTATGACTGTAGCTGCCATTCTTAAGTCTCTCTTACGGTGGCACATCGGGCCTCAGGACTTTGTTTACAAGCTCCTCAATGAGGTATTACTCCAGGCTATTGAAGGGGCAGCTGGGCGAAGGTGGTGGTAAGGCCTACACCTATATAATGCTAAACCTTGCCCTCTAAAGCACTTTGTACTCATGTTTCTCCTGAGTATCAGAAGTATCTTTTGAGGCAACTGGTGGTGTCCCATTTTACAGAAGAAACGAAGTCCAAGGAGGACATACAAATGGTTCAGCTAAGCTTGGATCCCAGACCCTAACCTCTTCTTTATTCTGTAATATTTGCCTTTAGGACCACGTGGTTCAGCTTGATCCTTGTGACCTCTCTGGAAATATCTGTGACCATTTTTTAATGTTGTAGGGACACTGGCTAGTATCAGGAATATGTAACCCAGCAAGATACAGTTAATATGATTGTCTTTAGAAAGAAAACAGGGTCCTAGAGTAGGATTGCTCGTATTTTAGGGGTTAGTGAAAACTCTTGAGCCAAGAAAGTTTTTATACGTATCCTATTTGTTTTTAAATCTGTTCCCACCTAAGGCTTGAAAAAAGCAGCCTAGCTCATGAGGTTCTGAAAGCTGTTTTTCCAGCATAACCTCGGGGTCCTGCGAGGCTGTGTTCTAGAGAGGTCACATGACATACAAGATGTGATCTGGCTATTTAATATCAAATTTGTAGCCCTTGTCTCTTTGGGCTAGACCTGAGTGATAAACTTAACTAGCTGTGGTAATGAAGGCAAAAATTAGGTTTCCTTGAACTGCTCAGCTAGAGAGAAAAACATGCGTTGTTCTTTGAATCAGACCTCTATGATTCTTGCCTGGACTAAATCAGATTACCATCTCTGATTAAAATTTCAGTAGTCAATCAGTTGGGATACATTTTTTTTTCAGACTTTATTCTGCTGAGGCTTTTCCATATTGGAAATTTGTCAGTTTGTATGTTTAATTTCATTGTGGAGTAATGGTTCATCTGCAGTCTTCTTCCCATTCAAATCCAACCTGCACCATAGCAAATTACTTAACTGAAAATACCACATGGTCCTGTTGGGCTTTTAAGAAACAGCTTCCCAAGGCCTCAGGGATGCAACCTTAACACTTGGCCAACAAGCAACAACCTTCAGATGGGCTTCCAGCCCCCCTTTCAACCCGTGTTGGCAAAGAAAGAAAAGACTGAAGCCTGTGAGGATACAGGGTGATGGGGCACTCTTCCTTCCCACTGGTTTTGGGGTGTCTGAGGGCAGCAGCCCAGGCCGGCTGTACAGATGAGGGAGCCATTATTCTATCAGTGTGTGGTCACAACTTAGCTTCAGAATAAGAAATTGCATGGGTGCTTCCTTCATTGAGGAGGCAAGGCTGCTAAGTCAGTCCCCGTGCAGAGCTGAGCTTTCTAAAGGTCTTGGGAAGTGTGGCTTCCAGTGCTCCCGGAGTTTCAGAAGCAGAAGCGTTCAGGGATTAGTTAACCTTTAACTACAGAGGGTGATTAACCCATTGGAGCTGTCATTGATTGGCTGTCCCTCTGAAGCAACCTCACTGCAGTGAGGCAGTTGCCTGTTGGCTGGCCATCGGTGTAGCATGGTTGTTGACTGGTGGATTTCACTGGAGTGAAGTGGTTGTTTATTGGCTGGCCCTCTGATATGAGGCAGTTGTTGATTGGTGGACTTCAGTGCAGTAAGTGAACAGAAGCAGGTTTGGTTTGGTTTGGTTTTTTTAAATTGATGGGGGTGGTCCTTGAGCCATTAAGATAAGGTTAAACCCATTGCTGTGGCCAACCAATAGGCAGTCATTTCCTAGGTGTATGGGAACTTTTAATTCTCATATGTCCTGAGTTGGAATAAGCCTCTCAAAATGCCGACTAGTGTCAGGCCCCCAACCGCCCCCACCCCTAGGAGTGAGCACATGAGAACAGACTAGCTGGGGGTCCACAGGCCTAGGCCCAAATCCTGACTGTCATTAAACAAGTCACTCAGTCTCTGTGACACTTAGTCGTCTAAAAGATGACACCTCCCTGAAACGTGGATGTTCCCAAGATTAAACACCTTGACATGTGGGAGGTGCCCATTGCAGCTCTGCTGAGCTCAGAGTGGTGGCTCCGGGGAAGCTCTGGTGGGGCATTGTTTTGTGGCTCGGTTCTCGCTTGGCTTTTCCCACCAAAGACTCAGCAGAATTACATTGCCAGATGTAAAACTCCTTGGAGGCGCAGGCCTCTCTCATAAAGATCCTGATATAATTGGCCTGCAGTAGGGCTCAGGCAGTGGAATTTTTAAAGCTTCATATGATGTTCTGTGTGGATGGGAATAGATCAGTCCCAGCCAGCTTCTTCCTTAACTGCTGTTCATTCAGTAGGAAATATTAATAAACAGCTTTGATTGGCCAGATCTTGACTGTTCTTAAGTGATGAGCTGCTCTTGTTAAAACCTTGTGGAAATTGTGTAATTAAGAAAGCAACCTGGTATTCAGATGCAATATTCTCTGAGCTCCATTCCTGTTACTGCTATTGCTCTTCTTGTGGTTACTTAAAAAAAGAAAATCTACCTTAATGACTTTCAAAACCCTAATCTGACGTAAAGGTTGGATTAGGGAGTTCCACATGGTGTGGACTTGAGATTTTCTGAAAATGGATAACGAAATAGTCTCCAGTTCTGATAGGAGCTTTATATAAACTTTATCCTTTGGATATTGTATACATTATGCGGAGGCTTTCCTCCTTCCCAAAAGGTTTGTTATCTTCAAATTTGGAAGTTAATTCATGAAAAAAACATGCATTATTTATAAAAAAAAAAATTTAGCATCTAGTGGAAAACATCATGGTATTTAAAAATGGCATTTATGCTTCCATGGAGTCAATGTGCATAGATCCCCTGTAATCCTAAAGTCATCCCTCTAAAATAATGAGAACTTCTGTCAGGGGTAAAGGGGATTTTAGTCCAGGGTCTTTTCATCATTCATTTCTCCCTAGTTTGGAGAAATAGTTAGTTTAAGGACTGAATATTGAATTTTTCTGCTGAAAGAATACTGGTTCATCTTCCACCTAAGAAGTACAGAGTTGCTGAAGTAGTTATTTTATTCAGCTGTATTTTTGCTATTTATTACTTCCAAAATTAACTTTACCAGATATATAATATACACATTCATTTATTGTTGTTTTGATAAACTTTTTCATTTTGGAAAAATGTTATATTCACTTCTGATGTTGCACATTTTGTAGATTTTAACAAATGTATGGTGACAGGTGTCTGCCATTATAGTATTGAACAGAGGCGTTTCACTGCCCTAAAAATCCTGTGCTTCACCTGTGCATTCCTCCCTTCCCCCTTGCCCCAGGCAAGCACTCATTTTCTACTGTCTTGCCTTTTCCAGAATGTCATACCATTTTAAAGAAAAAAGTTATTCATGACATTTGTTGAAGAACAGTTAGACTTTATTCAGAGGGACTACCACAGTAGGGTTTTGCAGTCAAGAGAGAGATTGGGTTTGACTCCTAATATTAATACAACAAGGAAGAATGGGCATTTATAGGCAAGGAGCGAAATAAGGGAGTTGGTGGATGGAAAATTACTAAGAGGAAACATCAGGGGTGGAGGGTGGGGATTCTGGCTAAACTAACCTAACAAGATTCTTCTGAAGGCAGGACAGGGTGATCAGATGTCATCTGGGGGATGGTAGTGGATGAGGAACCTGATCAGATGTCGAGGGTGGAGGATTCCGGCTACAGCAACTTAGCAGGAGAGTCTTGCAAAAATTGGGCAATGCAAAGATGGTCACAGAAGTACCAAAGTCAAGGCCTAATGAAAAGAGGATTCAAAGGAGCTTGGCTGAAGTTTGGTTAAGGATAAACTGTCAGAATCACACTGTGTGTAGCCTTTTCAGATTGGCTGCTTTCACCTAGCAATATGCAATTAAGGTTCCTCCATGTCTTCTCAGGGCTTGATAGCTTATTTCTTTTTGGCACTGAATATTTCATTGTCTGGGCGTACCACAGTTTATGTATCCATTCACCTACTAAAAGGACATTTTGGTTGCTTACAAGTTTGAGCAATTATGAATAAAGCTGCTACAGACATCCCTGTACAAGTTTTTGTGTGAATGAAAGTTTTTAGGAATAATTTTATATTTATAAAAAAAAAGTTGCCAATATAATACAGAACATTCCCATATGCCCTTTACCCAGTATCTCGTAATGTTAACATCTTACATGAATGCAGTATCATCTTACTGGTGTGTTGTTTAAACCAGGAGATTGACAGTTATTTATTATTATTACTATTAGACTTTATTTTTATTTCACCAGTATTTCCACTAATTTCCTTTTTCTGTTTCATGATCCAATCCAGGATACCACCTTGCATTACTACATGTTAATTTTAATTTATAGGAGTAGTTTGATTATGTTAAATTTATTAAACATGTTCATAAGACACAGCATATCCTGAGAAAATGAATGTAAACCTATCAGTTATCAGGAGGCAGTGTTACCCAATCAAATGGACTCAATTAATTATAATATTGTTATTTAGAAATTTTTGCAAGTTTGATTTTGTTAGAGATTTCCTCATGTACAACAAACGGTGAGTTAGGATTTGTTTCCTAAGATTGCTGTTTCTAAACCAAACACTAAAGCTTGTTGAAAGAAGGACATTTTAAGGTTGAGCATTTTAAGACCCAGGAGGAAATCGGTTGCAGAGTTGTAATAAAAACTGTCAGTGCCTAATTTTTCACGTTGGTGCAAAGGATGAATTGTCCAGGTAGTTCTCTAATGAGCATCTCCAAATGTTTTGCTGGCAGAAGGACTCCATGAAAGATGACAGAAGAAGTCATTGTGATAGCCAAGTGGGACTACACCGCCCAGCAGGACCAGGAGCTGGACATCAAGAAGAACGAGCGCCTCTGGTTGCTGGATGACTCCAAGACATGGTGGCGGGTGCGGAACGCAGCCAACAGGACAGGCTATGTGCCGTCCAACTACGTGGAGCGGAAGAACAGCCTGAAGAAGGGCTCCCTCGTGAAGAACCTGAAGGACACACTAGGTGAGTGTTCCACCCGCTGGAGAGAGGAAGCCTTGTGTATTTCAAGGGACACCGTCCCATCTTTCTAATTTGTTTGCTTTTTCAAAGAAAAAAAAAAGTGTTCTAAATGTTAACATCTTCCTAGTTGTCCTTTTTAAAAAATCTAAGAATTAAGAGATGAAGATGGAGAAATAAGATGTTTGTCATTTCCTGGAGATTCTGGAGTTTGGGGTCTTGTGTATGGAGCCACTTCTATGTGTTTGGGACTTCTGCAGAGGTATCTCCTTGTATCAAAACTTTAGAGGACCCTGACTTGGAATTCTCACCTCTAAGTCTACCCAGCTCTGCCAGTATCATGCCATGAAGTTCTTTCTCTCCTATAAAATCCTGTCCATTTGGCCTCTATGCCTAGAGCCAAAGCACTTTTTCCCTGTCTGAAATTGATGCTGCGTCACACCATGGTCCCAGGTGCTGTTAGCTAAGAGGTCACCTGTGTGACGTGAGAGGCCGCTCCGGGGTAGGGGCCCAGTTCAGCCATAGTGTTGTCTGGCCCTCTCTCCATGTGCCTTTTTTTTCCTCCAGGTGTCAGGACATGGGCAATGCCCCCGGGAGTTACACAAAGTTAACAGTGTCCAATCTTGCTTTCTCATGTGCATGCATACAGGACTGACTTACAGTAGTTACTGCTTCAGACTACTTAAGAAAATAATTGTGAGGACTTTTCTGAAGAATGACTCGTCTGAGCTGACATTGAAATGTTGTTACCTTCTTATGAGGATAATGTTGTCTGTACCCAAGACTGCAAATTATCACTTAAGGGCTTGCTATTGAAATGGGTTAATATTATCACCTGGGTTACATTTACTTAGGGGTTTAAAAAATTTTCTAGCAAGAGGATTTCCTTCCTTTTAGGGGGCAGAGAATGAGGAATACATGGGAAAACTGAAAGTAAAATTGTACACCAAATGGGGTGGGTGTTGCAAACTGTTCATCTTTCCTTTTATGCAATCTTGAAAAGTCTGAACTCCCTCTGCAAAATCATTTAAAGCCTTCATGTTTTAGGTAGTATTTTTGTACGTGGATTAGGTTATTACCATGATTTGGAGAGACAGGTGAGACACAGGACTTCGTGTGAATCATACCAGGTCACACTGGTCATCATAGGTTCTCAGCCTGTTGGAGAAATTTCATTTTTCATTGGCAGTATGGTCCTTCTCCACTGAGCTGCCTCCCTTTCATCTTTTTTTCCCCACATAAGCATGCCACTTGAAAGAAACATGTTTTATGCTTATAACTCTTAATTAACTGTGGCTACCAAAGAAGAGAGTAGCATGAATAGAGAAGTACTTGAAGATGGCCCTGAGCTTTATTTTTCCAATTTCCGCCTTTCACCAAAGTACCTTCTTTTAAATGATGCTAAACATTGTTACGTTCTTGACTTGTGTCTTTTTTTTTCTTTTTTTGCCCCGACTGCCTTTTTTTTTTTGGTATTCACAAGGCTCTAGTAAAGCACGAAATGCTCAGAGACTGATAGGAAGTAGAACAAGACCAGGCGAGTGCTCTGGGTGGCCTGGAAGTTTGAAAACCTTGTCATTTTTCTTCCTCGGTTTTTTAGAAGGAGAAAAGGCAAAGCCACAAATTAAAACTACAGACCACATCTTCCACCCAGCATGCTTACTTTTTTCGTGAGTTGTGATCGGTTCAGCCAGTGGGTATATTCCCAGGCTCTCCGACTGAGCCAGCCGCCCATCCTGGAGCCGGCGCTGGGCCTGCGCCCGTCCCTGACAGATGGCCATCCAGCCCTGCTGGAGCACAGCGACGGCTCGGGTAGGCCAATCCCATTTTTGGAGAAAACAGATTGTTAGAAAGCTCTTCCTTAAATAGAATCAGATTTTTACATTTCTTTAACTTCCTTCCTTCCTTTGGCTCTTACTTTGCCCTCTAGGCCTGTGCCGAGTAGATCGGATCCTCTTCTGTAGTGTCAGCCCTCCCATAGGCTTGGCTTCAATCCAGGCAGGCAGTTCTTGGGAAACATTTCTGTTAAGCATTGGGTACTGTAAAAATACAGATAAGGTGATGTTCTGAACCCTTGTATTGATTTTTGCAATATGTATTGATCTTCATAGCCGAAAGGCCCTTGGGGATCAGTATCCCCGTCATGCGGGAGAAATATCCCCATGGTTAGTATATATTTTTTGTTTTGATCTCTTTATCCTGCTTACCTGGAGGTTTTGGTTGGACAAAGCGACCTTGTTATCTCAGCATGAGTTTTCCCTTGTCCCATTGAGCTGCATCTAATAGAAGAGGAGGCACCCCCTGACCAGGTCTCACCGTCATGCAGTAACTTCTGTGCAAAGTTTATAGATGTGGCTTTGCCAAGAAGGAAGGTAAGAATGCTTTCCATAGCTCCCCACTCCCATTAGTTTTTTGGTTTTTGGTTTTTTTTTTTTTTTCCCCCTAAAAAGATAGGAGCCAAAGTATTCATGGCTTCCTATTATTGTTGCTGACTATAATTAAATAGGTATACCATCAGAATGACAGTATGAGTTTAGGCCAGTTCTCTGCTGTGTATTGGGAGTGAAGACAGCACTGAAAGTACACCACATGTATACTGACCATGGTTTTTGTTGTTGGTGGTGGTGGTGGTGTTTTGAGACAAGGCCTCACTCTGTTGCCCAGGCTGGACTGCGGTGGCGTAATCACTGCTTACTACATTCTCGACCTCGGTATCCTCCCACCTCAGCCTCCCGAGTATCTGGGACTATAGGCATGCACCACCACACCCACCTATTTTATATTTTTTGTAGAGACAGGATTTTGCCATGTTGCCCAGACTGATCTTTAACTCATAGGGTCAATCTAGTAATTACTCACGGCACCACCCACATTTGCAATTTTCACTGCTTTGGGAGTCCACCTAATTCATAAATACATGGTAAGATTCCCCACTGCTTTGGAATAAAATGGCACCGGCCTCCCCAGCAAAGCCACAGTGTTGTATGTTGCGTCCTCCATTGCAGATTACCCTAACTCTGTGTAGTCCTCTCCTGCTTTCTGGTACTCATTTGCTGTCCTGAAGTTGGTAGTAAACTTAATTTTGTCACATACAGTACTTTGTAAGAGTTGCTTGAGGAAAGATGTGAGTACCTTTGACAAAAAGAGCTCCTATGAAAGTATTCACATTCTTTCTCTGCAGTAATTTCAAAGTGAATAAAACAACCTGAGCTCTTATTTTCACAAGGGCAAAACATGTATATACTGGATCTCCTCTCATATTCAGCATATGATGATGAATAGTTAGAACTCTCCCACAGATAACAGGGAATGATGATGATCAAGAACTGCTTCTGCTGGCAGAATCAGCTGACGTTTTTGAAGGGCTCAGACTGCACAGCTCTGAGCTCAGCGGAGAGAGGACCTGGGCTGAGGTCTGGCCTTGATATTGCAACTCACTTAGAAAATCATTCAGGCTAGGTGTTGTAAAAGCACTATGCTACATCTTTTGAGATGGGGAAGCTGCTCCCAGGGAGGTATTTTTCAAAGATTTCCCTTCAAGCTACTGAAGAGCCGTTTTTTGTTACTACTTTATGACACCAGCTGGAGCCCTGCAAGGCCCCAAAGGTTAATTCTCTTTTCGGTCGTTAGCATAGGCTTAAGGGCTGACTCACATTACCCAAAAAGTTACAGTTCCATTTGCAACCTGATCATATCCTCAGGAGGGTATGTTCACAGGCCCACCTGCCCAAGGCTCACCCTGCCGCCCTACCCACCTGGGACTTCAGCATCCAGTGTGACCTGCCCCAGGGCTCATTCGTCAGCATTCCTCCCAACGAGACCACACCTAGGCCTAGGGTGGTTAGAAACTTGTCATGATCGGCCCCAGAACTCTCCTACCTCTGTGATCCAAGCTAGACCTGGGAACAGTGGGAACACAGAGGCTGCTGAGAGGGCTCCCTAATGCCCTCTCAGCAGCCTCTCAAACCTTTGCACTGGTTTGAGCTGATGCTTTTGGATGGGGACAGGGTGACTGGCAACTGTATGTGAAACTGACAAGGTTCTGAAAGGCATATAGAATCAACTTTGGAATTGAACTGATCAAAGACGCAAAGGAGTACAGCTGTAGGATTGTTACGTAAGATCCAAAAGCAGTTAAAAGCAGCACTTGGTATTAGAGTCAAGATTACAGTACTTGGGAGGGAGGAAAGCAGAGCCCAAGTGAGGGTAGAGGGGCTTCTGTCTTGGTGATCTCCTGCCCTGGGGTCTGTGGGGCAGGCTTATGGGCACACCTGCTGAAAGTGATAGGGGCCGTTGGTACCGTTGAGGTTTTCCTCTTTTTTTTTTTTTTTTTTAAGATAGATTCTCACTGTGTCACCTAGGCTAGAGTGCAGTGGCATGATCTTGGCTCATTGCAACCTCCACCTCCCAGGTTCTAGCAATTCTTTTGCTTCAGCCTCCCGAATAGCTGGGACTACTGGCATGTACCACCACACTTGGCTAATTTTTTGTATTTTTTGTAGAGAAGGGGTTTTACCATGTTGGCCAGGCTGGTCTCAAACTCCTAACCTCAGATGATCTACCTGCCTCGGCCTCCCAAAGTCCTGGGATTATAGGCGTGAGCTACCATGCCTGGCCAGTTTCTCTTATTTTAAAGCACACTGAGTCTTACCACAAAAGTCATGATCAGCAATTTATCTTAAGATCAGACTCCTTGAAGAGGTCCTTTACATTCCTTGTTAGTTGTATTCCTAGGTATTTTATTCTCTTTGTGGCAATAAACATAAGACCTAACACCATAAAAACCCTAGAAGAAAATCTAGGTAAAACCATTCAGGACGTAGGTGTAGGCAAGGACTTCATGACCAAAACACCAAAAGCATTGACAACAAAAGCCAAAATAGACAAATGGGACCTAATCAAACTCCATAGCTTCTGCACAGCAAAAGAAACAATCATCAGAGTGAATCGGCAACCTACAGAATGGGAAAAAATTTTTGCAGTTTACCCATCTGACAAAGGGCTGATATCCAAAATTTACAAAGAACTAAAACAGATTTACAAGAAAAAAACTAACAAGCCCATTCAAAAGTGGGCAAAGGATATGAACAGACACTTTACAAAAGAAGACATACGTGAGGCCAACAAACATATGAAAAAATGCTCATCATCACTGGTCATCAGAGAAATGCAAATCAAAACTACATTGAGATACCATCTCACGCCAGTTAGCATGGCGATCATTAAAAAATCTGGAGACAAAAGATGCTGGAGAGGATGTGGAGAAATAGGAACACTTTTACACTGTTGGTGGGAGTGTAAATTAGTTCAACCATCGTGGAAGACAGTGTGGAGATTCCTCAAGGACATAGAAATAGAAATTCCATTTGACCCAGCAATCCCATTGCTGGGTATGTATCCAAAGGATTACAAATCGTTCTACTATAAGGACACGTGCACACGAATGTTCATTGCAGCACTGTTTACAATAGCAAAGACCTGGAACCAACCCAAGTGCCCATCGACGATAGACTGGATAGGGAAAATGTGGCACATATACACCATGGAATATTATGCAGCCATCAAAAACGATGAGTTAGGGTCCTTTGTAGGGACATGGATGAACCTGGAAACCATCATTCTCAGCAAACTGACAGGAGAGCAGAAGATCAAACACCGCATGTTCTCACTCATAGGCGGGTGTTGAACAATGAGAACACATGGACACAGGGAGGGGAGCACTACACACTGGGGTCAGTTGAGGGGAAATAGGGGAGGGAGGGTGGGGGGTGGGAAGCTGGGGAGAGATAGCAAGGGGAGAAATGCCAGATGTAGGTGATGGGGAGGAAGGCAGCAAATCACACTGCCATGTGTGTTCCTATACAACAATTTTGCATGTTCTTCACATGTACCCCAAACCCTAAAATGCAATAAAATAAATAAAGGGAAGAAAAAAAAAAAAGATCAGACTCGCCTCCTCCCTCCCTCCCTTCTGCTCCCTCTTCCCTTTCTTCCAGTTGCTTAGTGGCTACAAGAAGTAGCAGGCAGGGATCAGGGTACTGGTTTGTACACCGGAACAGGAGAAGGCAGCTCTGTCCAGGATAACTAAAGGCCCTTTAATTAGGGTTAGCCCACATAAATACATGTAATAAGAGCAGCATCAGTGTGCAGTTTATATAGCACTTTGCAGTTGACCAAGAGGCTTACACTTACATGCGTTTTATGTTTGTTTGTTTGTTTGTTTTAATATCGGTAGTGAAGACTCTGGAATTATGTCTAGGAAGAATCTGAGGGCTCCAGACTGGCAGAAGGGGGTCAGTCTTGAGCCTGTGCTTCATGCTAAGCATGCTGATTTTACTTAGGTTGGAAGACCCAAGTTAGCAGAGTAGTCATGCAAGATGCTTTTAGTTACATGGTACGTAAATTTATGAAAATGTGAGTTCACATGAAAATATGTGACACCATTCCAGGCCAGCCTCAGTAGTGTTACTAATCACAGATGAAAAAATTAAGCCTGAGAATACACCAGTCACAGGTACAAGACCCAGAGGGGACTTCAGATCTAATCTGAATATTTTTCCTATACCAAATTGACTATCTGGATTTAGTGTTAGGCCACTGTGTACATTTGGGGGGACTCTGTCGCAGAGTCAGAATTATTCCAAGTTTTTCGTTTTAGAAATGAGAAACCTCGGGACTAACTAGCAAGCCTTGAAAGGGGTTCAGGGGTTAAATGATAATCATGTGTTGATATAAATTAACTGATTATGATGAATACCCTTGCTTGTGGAAATACACATGAAATATTCAGGTCATGGAACATCGTCTTGGCAGCTTAATATCAAATGGTTTGGGAAAATAGGTTTTTTTGCGCTGTTTTTATAACTTTCCTTTGCATTAAAACAAGGAGACATATCGGCAGTGGTTTAGTGACTACCCTGGGCTGTAAAGGTAGCTGATAGTCTGGAGACTTGGGCAACCCTGCTGTGCCTGGGCAGTGCCCTAAGTTTGCATAAGCATTTAAGGGGCCAGAAAGTATTGAGTATCTGCTGCAGTTGGACCTAGAACATGAGAATAACACCAGGTGTCATCATGCCCAGCTGTTGCTTCACAGAATGGTTCTAACAGTACCTGATTCAGAACTTTCTCTAATTATTCATCAAGGTTCTCTCCACATCCCTAGCATGAAAATAAAAACCATCTCTGCTTCTTGCTGGGTTGGCCCAAGCTGTTTTGAGCTCCTAGGCTCACAGCCTCTGATTGCAGGAAGTTGGAAATTCTCATTTCAGCATCGTAGGATTGTGGGTCTGTCATCGTGATTATAGTCTCACAGATCTCAACAAGGGCAGAGCTGTTCATCTCTGAAATGAAATTTAGGTAACAAATGCAGCAGCCTAGTTCTTATGGAAGCTGAGTCTAAGCTTCAGTTGTCCCTTTCTGTATCCCTTGGAAATCCCATCTGAGCTACTGCATTCTCTGCTGTGAGTGACCTTTGAAAACAATAATCGAAGGCTTTGAAATAGGGATGCAGATATGGTGCAGCGACCACCACAGTGTAATAGGGTATGTTCTGATCAGAAGGGGGAGCCTGGTCAGATGTTATTTCATCTGGTCGGGATGTGAAGGAAGGAGAAGGTTTAGTCCCTGACTTTCTGAAGCTTGTATTTGTAATGTAATTGGGAAAATAATACTGGCACAAGATGGACAGTCCTCATTCAGGTGATTGCACTGTCCCTTCCTGTGCCATGGGAAACTAGGGCTGAGTTGTGCAGCTCGGGCACCTGTGCTTTCAGAAGGCACGTAGCATCGTGGGCAGGAGGGAGGACTCTGGAGTCTTCCACCACCCGCATTCAAATCCAGGTTTTGCCACCTACTACTGATAATAGCTGAGTGACTTTGAACAAGCCATTGAATCCTCTGAGCCTCAGTTGCATCATATGTATAATGGGTTAAGGGACTGCTTGTCTCATAAAGTTTTTGAGAACTGAATGAATTCATTCATGTGAAGAATACTCTGAGCTGGGTTGAGACTTGGCAAGGGGAGGTGGTGTTTCAGTTGACAGTTGGAGGGTGCAAGGCAGGATATGTAGATGGAAACCCGTAGGTGTGGGAAGGCCACCAGTGAGTCAGCCAGATTAGGGTGAGCAAGAGGGCTGGGGCAGCCTTGGGGGTGGAGTGTACCACATTGTGAAGGCCCTGGGTGTGAATAAAGAACTCTTGGAGGTTTCTGCAGGGCTTATGGGGGAGATGACTGCTGGGGTGTCCGACAGGGGTCCTGATCCTCATTTTTAGGACTCGACTGGAAAGGCCTGAGCCTGGCTGTGAGAAGCGGGGGACAAGGCCTGACAGTGACCCTGGGTGACATCCCAAGCCTTGAGCTCAGCTGTGGGGTTGGAGGATGAAAGAGAAGAGGGAGATTTTGAAGGGAAACCCCTAGGAATCTGTTGACTGGATGGGGAACGCCTTAGAGAAGTGTTAGAATGACTCAAGCATTTCCAGCCTGAAGGACCAACAGAGTGACCCAGAGAGTGGGGGGAATAAAGGGAGACTGAGCCAGGGTGCCTAGTGGAGTCTGAGGTTTAGGGCGGGATGTCAGTAGGATGCCAGGAAGGCTACAGCCGTGAATCTCAGGCTTGAAAGATACACAGTTATCCTCATCACATACTTCCTTTCTGTTAGTGAATTTTTATTTTCGGATGTGTATAGATAATGTAATCCAGGGCCTCCTTGGAGAGCTGGCACTTCTAAGGCAGCTGGTTAGGTACCTCAGCTAGGCATTTAATCTCTGTTAAGGACTGGCTCTGGCCTCTTTTGGATTCTTTCTTGTTCCTTTCAGGAATGAGTTTGGCCTTCCGAACCCATAGGAAAGATCTGTAACCTCTAGCTTGCATGTGGACGCCTGCGGTGCGCACGTGCGCGCGCGCACACACACACACACACACACACACACACACACACACATCCCTGCAATTGGATGACTTTAGATTAAGTTAACACCATCCAAATAAAACTAGAAAGAATAACACTGGAATAACATAGTTAACACTAGAAAGAGGTGAAAAGCCATCACCAGAGCCCTCCGCAGCAGGAGACCTTGTGGTAGCTGGTGTCAGGGCCAAAGGCTCCCCTAGGCAGCATCAGTGCTCCCCCCACTCCCTGCTGAGGAGTATGTGGCCCACCCTGAAGATAAACAGAAAGCTCACGCAGTAGGAAAGCCTAAACCAACTCCCCCAGACCAATCTTACATGCATTTTCCCAGTGAGTGGGCCATGATAATTATTTCTCTTTGAGTGTCTGTAAAGTGTGCTAGGTACTGTGCTAGATGCCCGAATATGTTTTTGTTTCATC